ACGTTGCAGGTGAAGAAAGGACTGAGGGCGATTGATGGGGGGGAGGAGGAGGTAGGAGGGCAGAAGGAAGAGAGGGGAGAAGAAGTTAGGAGGACGAGGACGAGGACGAGGACGAGGAAGAGGAAGAGGAGGGGGAGAAGGAGGAGGAGGAGGAGGAGGAGGAGGAGGAGGAGGAGGAGGAGCGGCAGCACCAGCAGCATGTTGAGCTGCAGAAGTTCAACGGGGATTAACTTCCTATCAGGGGAACCTCGCGGTCATCAACGCCGAGCTTGAGTATCTGAGGGAGAAGGAGGAGACGAGGAGGCATGCTCTTCTCAGCTCAGCTGAGAAGTCCAGGGAGGCGCGGGCTGCTGCTCAGCAGCTGGACCCAAGGTGGGGAGATGTTTGACGTTAACCTAGGCATTTGACGTGCGACTCGACAGGACGCTGTCAAACTCCGACGCTGCTGCTGGGACGTCCGACAGGCTGAGCAGACAGTCTCCTCCACAGCTCGATCCCAGCTCGAGTCAGCCAGCTGATTCCCAGCTGGGAATGGTTCTTGAGAGGTACCTTACGCCATCCCAGCTGGGGAGGTGGGAGTCCGCGGGGGCTCCGCGCGAGGAGCCGAGGAGATCTCCGCTCGTGCAGGCGAGCACTCAGAGTCCTGCTTCGGCTCAGCTGGACAAGTACCTGAAGAAGAACTGGAGCTGAGCTGGAGGCAGGCTGGGGGGGATGAGAGGTGTGCACAGGAGGGAATAAGTTGTAATGATTGATTTAATAACCGTGAATGAACATGATGGTGTTGGAAATGTCTCACAGCTCGTCATTTAGAATTCTTTGTCTGATTGATCTCATGTAATCCTGTCAAACAAGGTCAACAAATTTTCTTGAATCAACTCAGGATTGCAAACAAAGAGAACATATGCGAGAGAATGCTCAAACAGAATTATGCACCATTGTCACGACAACAAACAATCAGCAATACAAACTTCGCTCATGACAACAGACACTTCTCCAGTTACCTGCATGAAGCACAAGTTGTGTTGCGTGAAGAGTATGGACGCTAGAGGCTCCTTCGCCTTGTGCAGATGGTGTAGGTAGGCAGCTGAGTACAGAATGGCAAGATAGAGAGAGAAGGTAATGATGTAGATCATAATAAGATCAATGAGAAGAAAGACAAAAAGGTGAGAGAGAAAGAAAAGGACATTCAGAAACAGAAATGGAGGAAAACAAAGAGATCGAAAGAAGAAACCTGTATACGGAAGATATGGGGAGACAGGTTCGTGGTGTGTAGCCCAGCGACTGTTTGAAATCTTGATTTGTCCATCGAAACTCAACAATGCTCCATGTCCTTTACAAATGTCACGATAAAGTCCATATTCACGACTTTTGTCATCATCATCATCTTCTTCTTCATCTTCATCTTCATTATGTATGAACATTATCATCATCATCTTCTTCTTCTTCTTCTTCTTCTTCATCATCATCATCATCATCATCATCACCACCACCACCACCACCACCACCACCACCACCATCATCATCATCATCATCATCATCATCATCATCATCATCATCATCATCATCATCTTACTTCCATTGCGAGAGGGGAAGGCCGAATCGAAGGTGTCTACTCCATGCGGCACACATCTACCATGGACGTGACATTGTATCTTATCCCTGCTTGTTACCTCTCGATCGATCTAAGATCTGCGATTCCGAGGAGATGGTTCGGACGATCTGTGAAACAAGTAAGATCGACCTCAACAATCTCATTGCAAACAAAGTCAGGCAAGTTCGCAAGACTGTTCAGAGGCATTACAAGGTTCCTCTGTGTCAGGACATTTTCTCACCTTGGGGGAGCTGAGGAGTGACGAACCCCACCAGATCGATCTGAACAAATCGTCAATGAAATCGTTCATGTCAAACTTCTCCACCCCTCTTTCGCTTCATGTCCTGTAGCATCTCCTCCTTATCACTCCTCCTACTCCACCTGCCTGCCCGCCTGCCTACCCGCCTGCCCGCCTGCCCGCCTGCCTGACTCCTCCTCCCCCTCCACCCCCCAATCCTCCTGCTCCTGCTCCTGCTCCCGCTCCTGCTCCTTGCTCCGGAGCTTGCTCTAAGCAATGGTCCTGCTCCTGCTACTCGTCTCTCCTGCTACTCGTCTCTCACCAGCTCGTCGCCAAGTTTGCCAAAACTTCCACCGAGGGCGAACCCGTCGAAGGCAAGGAGGTGAGATAGTCAATGCTGAGCTGACGACCAGAC